TATATATATATATAAAGAAATGTAAATGAAGATCAGTAGCCAAGGAATTTCGATGGAAGTAAGAGGTTGATTCTCATTTGTGAAGACGACTAGAATCAGATCATTCTTAAATGTAGTAGCCTCTAAAGATATCTATCTTCACAGACTAGGTTTAAAAAGAGCTTTTATCTTTAATGATAACTTGGAAGATGATATATGCAAGTCACAACCACACAATGCTCTTATAGTTGGTAAGAAGAATCTAGTGAAAAAAAGTATGTATGGCATGAAGAAAACTTCTAAGTAGTTGTACTGAAAGTTTGCCACCTTCATGAATATGAGCGGATACTGGAGACGTAAGATTGATCATTGTTGTTACGTAAAGAGATTTCGCTCCTCCGACATCATCCTCGTGTTGAATGTTGATGTCTTGTTGATTATTGGTTCTGATACACATAAGATCAATGGGCTTAAGATGTAGTTGTTCTAGGGAGTTCAAGGTCATGAACCAAGGGGTTGCTAAGCTGAAGAAAGTTTTTAGCATGGTGAACTAGGAAGATGCATGTAATAAGGTTTTTATCACTAATAACTTGAAGTCAGAAATGGCTTCAACTGCCTTTCCAAAAAATTTAAGAAAAAGTGTTGGTAGGAGAGAGAGAGAGAGAGAGAGAGAGAGAGAGAAAGAGAAAGAGAAAGAGAGAGAGGGGAAAGAGAAAGAGAGAGAGAAAGCAATTAAGGAATGATTAAGAGTTGAATAGAAGAGAAGAATGAGTTGGTCAAGACTTCAAGTGGGATACTGTTAAGGTGTGAACTCTTGACATAATTCTCTCTTTGGTGGCAAAAATCTATCATAATGAGAGAATGTGCTCTTTGTTGGTAGAGTTCTCTCCTTGTGAGAAAATGCTCTCTTTAGTGCCAGAATGCTCCCATTTGCAATATGATGCTAAGTCCTTGAAGCGATTGGGTACTTGGAGAAAGTGGTAAGGAATTTGGAGAATGCACTGCTAGGAATCAGAAAGTATTTCTACAATTGAGAAAGAATTGTGGGAATCAGAAAGCGCTACCAGGAAGGAGAAAGCGCTTCATGGAATAAAAAACTATTGGGCACTCAATAATTGGGTTGTTGGAGTTCAGAATGAGTTGATATTGATCTTTTAGGAAATTATTGAACATGCTATGATGCATGGTAGGTGGCTATGTACATCGTCTAAAGTTGAAAAGTCTGAAAGGAAAGTCATGGCGTTCTGTGATTGGCTAACAATTAGGGCATCCCTTTATGGGCTAATTATGGATCAGCCTGACTCATCATAATTAGTGTTTCTCATGATCGCCTATAAATAGACATACATCGCCATCAACATTCTTGCGCTAAAAATTCATGAAAACAATCATTGTGAGTTTGAGAGCACATCTTTTGGATCAGTTAGTAAGCAAGCGATATTTTTGTGTTTCATTAATTGAAATGAGGTATAAACTTTGTGAGTTATTGTAATTGCTCTTGAAAGTTATTAAAACCATCTCTCGTTCGTCCATGGACATATGTCAGATTGACAGAACCACGTTAAATATTATGTTTCGATTTTATAGTTTTTAAAAATTTTATTTTGCAAGTTTTATCGAAGTTCGTTTATCATGTGTTTGAAGTGCTTAATTTGGTTTGTTGGATTTCCCAAGATAGTCTTCGAGGATTTAGTCTCCCGTGTTTCCCAGCCGATGTTCCTGTTAAACAAAACAATAAACGAAAAATAAAGATGCTAAGATGTTGAGATAAGATTTAAGATCTTGACAAGATCCAACATAAATGCAGAATGTGACTTCTAGCAAATCATATGCTATCATAATATAAACATTAAACAGTTAATAATAAAAGCATTTTCAATGAATGTTAAATAGAATATAATTGAATATAATATAGAAGAGAGAAAAAATGGAGTTTAATGTGTATCATTAAACATTCTAATGTAAAAAGAAACTATGGAATTCTTTCTCATAGTTGGCATTGCATTCAATTCTTGGAGAGTTCAATGAATACTGGATGCCCAAAAGATACATGATACATGATACACACGGTTAATAGAAATAAGATTTATTTCATATTAGGCATAATCAAACATCAAGCCGACTCTATAATAATATATTGCCGACTCTATAATAATATATTTTGCATTCTTTATTACTTGAAACCCATTTGTCATATAAACTTCCAAGCAGAAACAGAGAAGATGGGTACGCCTTTCCATTCAACAAGGAAGCATCCACCATCAACAAGAACCGAACAAGAATTCCCACATTTGAAGTTACCGATCACCAAGTTGGTTTCATTCAATGTTGCATCAGTCAATTCAATTTCCAGCATCCCAAATCGTTGAAAGAATTTCCTCCAAACATCAACGCCAATGTGTCGGATTGTTCTCTCATCTCCATCAGCTGCCACAATATTGCGTATAGAGTTACCATAGCATACAGACTCCATAACCTTTCTATTCAGATCGTCGTCGGCTAAACAATCGGACATACTGTCAAAGAGTGCACCATAAAAGAAAAGAGCTTCGGTGAAACGATCAACAAAAGCCGATGATGTATGGTTTGCTTCCACTTCCGTGATAACCGTTACACAAGGTTTGATCTTCCGAATCACACGCATAAGATATTCAAGACTGTTCGGTTTCGCAATTAGGGTTGATAAGAAGAATGGCGCATAGACCGCAACCTTTTCACCTTCATTGCGTTCAATCAGATCTACATTGAAATCAAGCACATCACCTATCATAATTATCTTGAAACTGAATGGAATGTTCATCGACTTCGCAAAGTCAGCAAGACGCTTACCTGCACAAAGCCAGAGATTTCAAAATATACACAGAGAATTGCTTGTTGGTTCATGGTTGATACAGAGACTTGGGCTTACAGGTATCTTTTATCTTGGATTCCGAACTTGTACCTACAGCGGTTATCTTGATAAGATCGATATGCCATTCACTGCAACTTGCGATCGCTTGCATCAAACCTATATATTGGATCCCAGTCCTGCAGCTTTCGAGATCAATTACATGAATTTTCGTAGCTTTATTCAAGTTTTCGAATATTGTATGAATCGAGCTGAACTGACAAACTTGTGATAAAGGAACTTTCAGGTGAAACTCAGAGATGCACGTGTCCACGTTCATCAACGCTTCTCTAAGATCGAAAATACTTTCACGTTCATTGCATGCCAACCTTCCCATTTCACGGTTTATTTTCATATGAATAGCTTCAGAAAAGTAGTAAACCAATCTTTCCACAGGGTTTCCTTCATTCAACGACATGTTGCTGCATAACTGGATGAGTTTGATAGCACATTTAAACTGTTTTTGACCGGTTTTCTCAGCGGAGGCAAGAAGAGTAAGCAGAAGTTGGATGTCTTTAGCTTCATCATCAGATAGTCCAGAAAATGAAACGGCAAACGGGTGGCTTAGTTGGGAGGTTTCATCATCTTTTGAAGAATATGAATCGATAAACTGTTGGCTAGCCATTCGAATTCTTGCAGTAGTTGATAGTTTTTGGTCATTTGTCTCAGGATCTTCATTGTTAGAGCTTGGAACATTCATCGTATCGACATTCATTTTTCTTGATCTGCTTGCATAGTCTTTAACAATCCCAAGAGATGAAAAAGCTGAGCCCTTTTCATCTTCTTTCAACTGGAAATCTGTAGCCTTTGAAGTATTTTGAACACCAGGTGAGGTGAAATCGAAATAATGTTTACCCAAATTTTCAAAGTTGCTAAGGAATGGTTTCTGAAAGATGAGGTTTGACCTGGTTTCGGATGGAGCAAGAGAAGGATTATCATCTACAACTTTACGAAGAGCAAATTTCTCAGAAGTAAACATTGTTATAATCCTGGACGTAAAAATGTTATCGTTAGTATACAGTCTAATTTATGCCCCTCGACAATGTCTAGCAACCTCATTGTAACATGTCGATTAGTTTAATGTTACTCGGATGCTAATCCGCCTGCTCAAAGGGGAAAAGACATATATCTTTAAGATACAAATTTCCAACAGAATCAAAGTGAGGATCAGGTACGGCTAGCAAGTCAATAATCACGAAAACGTGACAGTGACATTTTGGATCCTGTTTTCCCTTTCTCTAATCTCTATTTGGGTTATTGCGTTCACAAGATTGTGTTATTTTGTTCTTAAGAAAGATATTTAAGAACATTAGGTTAATAGTCAAAGGTTCCATTGTTTCTATAAGATGAAAGAATTGCTTTGTGTATATCATTGTTTTAAAAACCGGTTTTTTAGTTGAACCGGTATGGTTCCCGGTTCAACCGGTTCGACCGCCGGGTCAACCGGTTTGTATAGTTTTCATGTTTTTTCTTATTTTCTTACACATACATACATATATAAATCATGAATTTGATGTTTATAAATTCAAATATTAAAAATACACATAAAAATAAGTTGTAGATAAATCCAAATATATTAAAATAACACATAACCATAAGTTTTAGTGTTTTACATCAATCCATATACGTCAAAAAGAAAATAAAGTATAATACCGTAACGAAATATAGTTTTAAATGAATACAAACACATCAAAAAACTCTATAACATTTATCATATGTTTTTATTTAGAGAAAAACTAAATAGACATGAAAAAAATCACCAAAGTTTATTATATAAATTGTTCTTTTTTATGTGTTTTTATTCGATTTATCCGGTTCAACCGGTGTATTTTGACCGGTTCAACCGGTTTTTTCTAAAAACCGGCCGGTTCAATCCGGTTCAGAAATCAATGTAAAACCGGTGATAGTTGAACCGCTCCCTCCCCCGGTTCACGGTCCAACCGGTTCGACCGGCCGGTTCAAACCGGTTTTTAAAACATTGGTGTATATGAGGTTGGCCCCAAATAGAAAAGGATACATATTTTTTCTTAGAGTAAATAACATTAATGGTGCCAAAGGTTTGGAATAATTTGGTCACAA